TTCATCAAGTCCATCAATTTTACGTTTGAGGTTCAATTTCATCAGGTTTTTTGTTTTTGGTTTTGAGTTTTAGGTTTGCTTTAATAGGTTCCATTGATTTTAAGTTCCAAGTTTGATTTCATCAAAATTGATTATGTTTTTAGTTTAATTTTTGAGTTTCGTGTTCAATTTCATAAGTCTCATCGATTTTGAGTTTTAGATTTTTAATTTCAATATTTGTTTTTAGAATTTTAGGTTTTGTTGGAATTTGTCTCATTCTACTCGGAGAAGACGCCGAGGGGAAGGCACAGTAGTGGGTTAAAAAGGTGGTAGTGAGTGGGTGTGGGTGTGGGGTGATGGTGAGGGTGGGACCATTTTCATTTTTTGTAATTATAAACAATAAATTAACTGAAAAAGAAACAAATATGGACAATATAGTCTTTCATATATAGATCAAAGACGCAACAAAAATCTATTATATAAAGTCTCTAAATTAAAAAAGAGTTAAGGATCAAACGCACATACTCATGTAAACCACATGAACCATTAAAGAACTTTTAAAGGATTAACAATCAAAGTAAAGGTAAGCTTGTACCTATACTCAGATTTAACAATCCTGATCATGATAAAAAATGAAGGGGTAAACAGGTTACCCCTTGCTTGCTTACTTTACCGATAGGAGGTTGACTTTCGTACACAAAAAACGTAGCCAAACTCCTCCCAATAGACACCCTCTTAGCCTTACAACTCCTAAATCCCATCTTCACCAACAACGGCTCTTGCGATGCCCCACCCACCCCCTAACTTCCACCCTCCTCCTCCTCTTGGCGACCTCCACCTTGCTTGCCTACTTTACCAACAACATCAATTCTGACGACGACCAGCTTTTCTATGGATTCACAACTATGAAAGGGGTGTAGGTGTTTGATTATTACGATCTAAAAATTGTAATCTATTTGAGGAAATATTAGTTTGTTTTCGGTGTTGGTGTTTGGATTGATGACGTTGAGGGATCGAAATGTTGCGAGTTCTTTTTATCCGTCGTCGGGACATGAAGGTCAGGAGGTTTCCGATATTGTTTCGATTGGAATCGGTGTTATCTGCAATGCTTTGTTTGTTGTTGTTCCGACAAGAAGACATGGTGTAACACCGTAATTTTTCAAACAAATTTTTTTGAAAATTAAAATAGTTTATCTCCTAAACGCTTTTCATAAAAATCCCATTTGTTTAATTTACAATACATAACTCTTTTGTTCAATCAATTAATAAACCAGGATCCTCAAACAAACGCTTCCCCCGGTGTGTACAATCGAACCGGTGTCGTCCCGTGAACCTGAGAAACCTGAAACACATAACACAAAACACTGTAAGCACGAAGCTTAGTGAGTTTCCCAAAATACCAATCTAACACATATTAACCACTCAAGGCTATAACTCTGTTGACCCTCTGGTCTGTGTGTCTCAGTGGGACCCTCCAATCCCAACTCTCTGTGGACCCCCTGGTCCTAACTCTATGGACCCAAAGGTCCTAACTCTGATAACTCAGAATCATGCATATCACATATCATATTAAATCTCAGAAAATAAATAGCATACAATTACACTGGCACATAACTCTAAACCTAACTCTATAGATCCTCTGGTCCTAGCTCTGTGGACCTTCCGGTCCTAACTCTGATATACACACAACATAAATCACATAGAAATAATGCAGTGCCACACATAACATAGATAGCATATAATAAATCTGTCACATAACTCTATTACCACTCTAGGTAAAGTATAATGAGAAGACTCGCCTGTTACTGCCGACTGAAGAATAAGATCACGCTGCTCTGACCACCATCACGAACTCCACCACTGAATCACCGAAACCAATAAATACCAATAACAACCAAAATACCCCTGGAAGTCAACTGGTCAACTCTTGGTCAAAGTCAAAGTCCTCAGTCAAAGCCAACCCTCCTGACTGACTCTACTCGTCGAGTCAACCCGTTGACTTGTCGAGTCCCCATGCTTTGAAACTCCCATAACACGACTCAACTCGCCGAGTCGCAAGACTCGCCGAGGCCCACAACTCTGAGTCAAACCGTACTCAACTCACTGAGTCATCCCTTGACTCACCGATTCTCAGCTTAACCAGAAAAGGTTAGGACCTCAAGACCAGACTCGCCGAGTCCAAGAACAGACTCGTCGAGTCCAAGACTATCTTCAACCAACTCGCCGAGTTTCTTCCAATCTTCATGCAACTCGCCGAGTACACCCATGTAACTCGTTGAGTACCACTAGCTCTTAACCCATACAGAGGCTTTCCAAGCCATGCAGTCCATAGATCTACTCTTATACAAGCCATCCATCATGTAAAGTGGCAAACTTTACGTGAATCCAAGGAGATCTAAACATAATACACTCTTGGGCTAAGGTTTGGGGCTAAAAGACTTCATCAACAGCTCTTGAACAGGGACTTTATGCTCTTTTGGATCATCACTATTCTAGATCTGAGGTAGCAACCTCAGATCTAACCTCCAAACTCAAGATAGCACTAGATATACACCCAAAATCCCACAAATGATAGATCTAGATGGATAACAGCTCAAGCAACGAATCATTACCTCAAAAGAAGGGTCCAACAGAAGAGCAAGTCAAAACCTTGAAAAGCCTCTTAATCTTCAAAGATCTCTTCAACAAACACCCCTTCAAGATCCAAATGTTCTCTAATTCTTTCACAACGAATATTAGGGTTTTTGGACTTCAAGGGAGAGCAAAGAGGCTAGGGAGAGGGTATCATGTTCTTTATATAGGGCCAAATCCCTAGGATTAGGGTTTCCTCCTCACAGCACCAACTCGCCGAGTTAGCCACTAGATACGCGACCAGAATTGCGACCCTAGTCTACCCATGGACTCGTCGAGTTGATCATACACATTTTCACTTTAAACCCTGAACTTTGCACCCCTGAACTCGGGATGTTACACATGGGATCGGGTATCCTATTGTAACAGCACAGAGAGAAGTGAGAGTTCCAAGGGAGAAGCAGGTCCTCCCTTTTAGTCGTATCATAACCTTGATTCTGATTACAAGTATATTTAAGCTTTGATTTTTAGGTTCTTACTCAAAATTTAAGCTTTGATGTATCAGGTTCTTGTACATATTTCACCTCCCGATTTTTGGAAGTTTGAATGTTAAATATTTATTGTTTTGATTTCATTACAGGTCATTGTGTGATTAAAAGCATTTGTAGGTTTAAGAGTTTACAAAAATAAGAAGGATGATCATTTGAAGGCTTTCTCGGGTTGAAGAACAAAGGAGAAATCAACAACCTTGAGAATATTACAATGGTGAAATTGAGAAAATAAAAAAAATCATATCAGCTTATGGGTGAGTTAGAATTAAGAAGAAAGTCACATCAACTTCAAATGCTTATGTAGCTTATGAAACATATTATAACATTAAACAAGGGCTTAGGGCCCCATTTAACCCAAATGTCAATTAATTAAGGGATTGTTGATTCCAGATTCTCCATTCATGCAAACACGAACACCACAATTTTGATTGAGACTAAGCATCAGCTCTGCCAAGCGTCTGTTCTTCTTCTTATCTTCTTCTTCCTGACTCTGAAGTCAGATTGATTCTTGAATCTGGATTGTTAAAAAATCAAAAAATCAATTCTTGTATCTTGATTGTTCAAAAATCGATTCTCCATCAGTCCATTGTTGATTCTTCATTCTAAAAGGTTGTCAAGTGTGAAGAAACGGTATGTTCTTCCTCTGATTCTTTATTTCTCCATAACTGATAACTGATAATTCCATTGTTGATTCTTCTTTCTCGATGAGACTATCTATTAGGGTTAGGCGTATTTCTTTTAATATTCATTGTGTCAAATTGGATTTTGGAATCAGGTTTGAACTTTGGATATTGGAGACTTTGGATATTGGAACGATTTTGGTTAATTGGTCGGAATGAATTTCAGTTGCCAAGTTGCAATTCCATATTTTCATTTCAGTTTTCTCAAGGAGTCATGGTCAAGGATGTGAAGACTCGAGAACTATCAAAATCTTACTTTGCTAAACAGGCAAAACAAGTATTTCCAATCTATAATCCATTACTGATTTACTTCCAGTTTACTTTTTTTGTCTTGGTGATATAGTGTGAGTTGTATGCAAAGAGAAAAGAAGTCCCTTTGCTCCTGATGTTTGTCATGAGTATGTCATGGCTTATCCTTCATTATCTATAGTACATACTTTGTTGTATAATTATTTGTTTGAACACTTTTAGTTAATGTGATATTTATTTATCTTTTCTAAGTTCTAACAACATGTTTATCATATGGGATGGTTTATAACATTCAGTATAGTAAAGGCCAAAGGATTTTAAATTTTTGGTTTACTTAGAGCCCCAAACTAGTTGAGTGGTCATTAAAAAAAAAAAAAAAAAAAAAAATGCTAGATATTCATGACTAAAAAGCAGGTCAACACCGCATCAAAAGATTTTAAATGGTTGATTTGGCAAATTCCAGAACGAACTAATGTGTCGTTTCCCTTATTAATATTATTTGTATGATATAATAATGAGAAAACATAAAAAGGTAGGTGGGCTTTGCATGGTTTCTTTTAGCATTTAATGGGCTTCAGCCAAGCTTTGTACGAGGAACTGATGTACACTAACCCATATTTTATTTAAATTTTCTTTTGATGAATTCCACAAGCAATTATACACATTCTTATCCGTATTTACATTGGAACATTGACATTTTTCTTATGTGGGTTTTGGTGGTAGTGTAGTTATCATCTACTCAACCTAAGTGCATCAAGTAATATGCCTATTTAGGCTATGTTTCTATTAGATAGCTCAAAAACTAACTAATATCATATTTCTTCTAGATGAGATAATCCAACACCGGATTTTGGATAAATCAGGACCATATTCTACCATATTTTTTTGTTGGGATATGGATACTTGTGTAACCCGGTTCGGATTGGATAATTTCGGATATGATTTCGGATGTTCCTATATTAATCCTTTCTTTTTTTGAAAATTTAAATTTAATTCCAACCAAATAGATACTTGTATTATATTTTCGATATGAATTAACAGTCCTTTGACAGTAGCTAACACCATCCACCCTACTATTTCCCTCTATAGACTAGACATGAATTAACACTTTATTTTGCCACTTTTATGAATTAACAACGAATCGAAAGGAACTAAAAATGATAACTTAATAATCAGCATACAATATTTTGAGAAGACATCTTGAAGGAGCTGTAAAATCAAAAAGATGCATTATATATTTTTTTTTCTTTTGGTGTGTAGAAAGGTATGCAGGAAACAATCAAAAACAAAAGGAATGACTCTAAAAATGTAACACAATGAATCCACCATGTTCTTGAAAACGAATAATCATTACCTTACCTTCGATTTTCAATATCAGCATCATAATCTCTTCGATTTTTCAGAACCTGGAAAAATATCATCAACTATAATAGAACAAAGATGAACGAAATGGATTCTCTTCAACATTGGCTAAATCAGAGATCTTCACTGAAATAGTAGTGATTTGGTACCTTTGTGGATATCATAAATTCAGATAAGGTTATGACTGCTAATTGAATGAAGAAATTAAAACACCAACAGATCGTTAATGGCGTCGCTGGTGCAGATAATCTTCCGTTTGTATATATATCAACTAATCTCTATAAACTTTGTTCAATTGATCATTAAAATCGCTATTACAAGATATATCCATCTCAAGAAATTGAAGAAATATTTGCAGATTACTTACTTTAAGGTCCATCGTCTCCATCTCGAATCAAATTACAGATATCGGAGCACTCCACCAAACAATAATGGCGACTTCGAAACCCTTGTTTGAAAACAACCAGAGGCCTCCGAACATTAAACGGTCCTTCGCCGGGCGACCCATCTCCGCCGCGTATGCAAGTCGTCACACACTTAATCGTGCACGATTCCGCTTGCCTCGATTTGGGTTTTTGAATTCTAGCCTTTTTGCAATCGCCATCTTTTCCCTGAACACAATCTCCGGACAACATCTGCGGAATGTTAGAAAGGGTTTCTGCGGCATCCGGCGGTGGGTTTCTTGGTTCAATTGCGATTGCCGACGTCGTGCTCGATAATATAACTACCGCCGCTGCCGTCGCCATGAAGATGCTGGTGCCTACTCCGTGAAATGTTATGGTGGGCATTGGTAGAGCGATGGGTTTTTTGAGGGTGTTGGTGATGAGTGGTGGTTGCTGGTGATGGTGGTTCGCCGGAGAATATCGCGAGAAGGGTACACCGGGAAGAAGCATTTTGTAACGCTGTTTATGTTTCGACCTCTTGAAATGTTTGTGAATAATACGCTACTGAAGAAATCTAGTAACACTAACCCACCACAAGAAAGGGGCCAAAAATGGCAAATTGGATTCCAATGAATATACTCAAGGCCCGTTTGATTTGAGGATTCCCATGGATACCAAATGGAAATGAAATTTTTTGAGAAAGTATGGTTCAAAACTTAAAACACTTTTGTACATACTATTTTGAGAAAGTATGGTTTAACATCAGAATTTTATTTATCATCATTTTATGTTTTGTAAGATTAAATCAAAGATACTAACAAAATAAATTATTCTTCAATTGTGTTCACAAGTTGTGTTGTAGACTATCGATTATAACTTGATGTTGATTAAGAAATCTATTGACTATCGTGGAACCAACTTTAACTTCTTCAACACTAGACATAATTCTTGTGGATTCAAATCATAACACTTACGAAGAAAATACATTAGGCAGAAAAAGAAAAACATAATTGTAACAATATGCTGCTAAAGAAACAATATCAGGGACTAAGATTTGTATTATGTCGATTCGTGATGAATTGATGAAATTGTGGTGCTCAATGATATTTCTTGGGATCTACAATGTTAGATTTCATGTTACATGTATGATTTTTTTAGGCTCGATTTTAAATTGAATAGGGCTCTAAATTAGATTTTTATAAATAACAACTTCCGTGGGGTATATAACTAAATATTTGATTATAGAATAAAGACTAAAGAGATAGGATTTGATTACGATACTAGTTTGAATCCTAATACCACAATATAGATCTTGCTTCGGTATCGATTATAGTGTGCTTGAGATCGTTTTTACTCGTAGGATTTTATGATCGTAAAATCATAAGGTTAAGATCGAAATGCAGGTAACCATGTATAGCGATTAACGGTGAATTCGAACAAAAAACATACATTTAAACTTATTTTATTTATTTGAATATTTTAAGTTATGCCTGTTGGAATTTTTGGATAACTTGGGCGGTAGGGATATCTCTAATCGGGCTGCTGGTTTTTTAATAATAACAACAGTTCATCTAAATAGTATGTACAAAAGATCGATAAATAAATAATTTATATTTTCTAAATTATCACTTTTCTACTAACCGATATGAAATACATTATCTAATTTAAATCACTATATCAGTTACACCCATAAGTAGTTTAACAGCTACAACTCTATTGTTTCCTACAAAATTTTGCATCGCATCGTAAAAAAATGAGGATCGGTGACCTAAAATTGAAGTAAGAATATGTATAATTTACAAAGTAACATACTAGGATAGGTATATGTAGTTTGTAACCAGTTAGATTAGTTTTCATTCTTATCATATAGCATGACATGTATTATAAATACATACCATATAATAAATGAGTGGGAATGGAAGTGATTCTCAAAAATTATTATTATGGTATTAAAGCTTGGAAAACCTAGAACAACCGTCGTCATATGTAATAATTCAGCCATTGTTATGCCTTCATAAGTGGCCAATCTCCTCACTCCCTTACTCAATTATCTTCGTTTATACTCTAATTCTCGAACTCTATGTATTAAATCTCTGCTCTCTTATAACTCAATTATTTTCTCAGAGCAATGTGTACCATTCAAATTACATTAAACCACCCACATTTCCTTATCATTGCATATCTACAAAATATACATAAAAAACGTCTTCTTACATGATCACGTAAATGAACCATATATACGTTTGTAACACTTTAGATTTTTAACACCATCTCCACAAATTGTTATTGTCTTAACTTATACTCTACAAAGACGCCAACTAGATAGGGTGTCGTGATACCTGTCACTCCACTTTCTGGATATTGTGTTTTTCTTAGCGATAATCTCATTTCATGGTTTTTTTAAAAAAGAAACCACTGCTTCTGAACATAATAACTGAACATCGAGGTAGTCAATGTCACAACTTAAACATGTTGGATTTTGAATTTACAAGAGCTACATATATCAATCCTCATGGTCACATTCATATATTATGATAATGTGGGTGTTACCTGTTAATTTGGGAACCATATTTCACATCAATAGATGAAATATGATAAACTTGATATTCACTTTGTTTGATAAAAGTAGTTAACTGATAAGTTCAGATGTTACATATATATTCTAGATATCAGCTTGCTAAAAGTTTTACTAAAGGAATACCTATAATTTTATTTAATGACTTTTGTAACCGTATAAGCATTCGACCCACTCCTGCTCTAGTTGAGGGAGTTTATTATCACCATATATGATGTCAAAATTATATTGTAACATATTACTATAGTGATAAATTGGATTAATAGCAAAGTTTATTCCTTAGCATAACATATTGTATAAAGAGAGATTCACCAAAATGATCACATTCATAAGTTATGTCCAATAAATTGACTATATTATTTTCAAATCACATAACCACTCAACATCCTCAGATGTAGATCAAATGCAAGTTCTAATGTCTAAAATTTGTGGTCTTTAGTATATAAAGCCCAATCTCAAAACATTTCTAGTATGTGTAATTGCATTCTAAATTTTCTCAACCTCTCACATCCTCACAACTACAGATGCACAAGTCTACATCCAATGAATCAATAGATAGTTTTCTACTATATCGCTCTATATTCATCTGATTATATGTTTCCCAACTTTTTTAAAAATACTTGATTTTATTTTTTTCAAACTGGTCTCATATCAAAATTTTGATAAAACAATTCATGAAGAGTCGTGAATTTATTTTAGAATGGGGTTGGGCCATCGGGATAAATAGAGTAAATCACAAGCTCTAACGAAGAATGAACCTCAACTTTGCCCTAAGCCAACGAGTACCCAACCGCTACGCCTAAAATTGAAAACCCTGATCGATGTCTGACTCCTAGGAAGATCGAACCATTCCTACAATGACTCAACTTCATAACCCGAAACGCAAAAACCTCTATCCTGAAACAAATTTACGGAAACCCGAAACATATACACCCCGACCACTTACTGATAGCGAAAAATCCTCATCGAAAACAAAATCAACTTCATACTTAAAAATTAAACATGTATAGTTGGTCCTGGTCTATCTGCTAACATCACTCATTCAATCATTCACTCCCAAAGAAGGTGTCACACCCCCGGACCAGACAGCGGAAACGTCCGGAGGCGGGTAAATTCATTGTGCAGTATCATAACAATTGAATACAAATGAAATATAGCAAATCCAAACATCATACATAAAGATAACAAACTTATATTGCTTTACATAATGTTTATGTTCTCATATTAGACAAAAGAGACAATAGTGAGTAAATTCCAAATTACAACAAAATAATCCTGAATCTGCATCCCATTAACCTGCTTAAACAAAATCAACTTCATACTTAAAAATTGAACAGGTATAGTTGGTCCTGGTCTATCCGCTAACATCACTCATTCAATCATTCACTTCCAAAGAAGGTGTTACACCCCCGGACCAGATAGCGGAAACGTCCGGAGGCGGGTAACTTCATTGTGCAGTATCATAACAATTAAATACAAATGAAATATAGCAAATCCAAACATCATACATAAAGATAACAAACTTATATTGCTTTACATAATGTTTATGTTCTCAGATTAGACAAAAGAGACAATAGTGAGTAAATTCCAAATTACAACAAAATAATCCTGAATCTGCATCCCATTAACCTGCTTACTGATTTCCTGAGAATACAAGTCGTTTGAAAAGCGTCAACATAAAATATGTTGGTGAGTTCATAAGCATTTTGTATAAAAATATGTGATAGTTAGAAAACCAGAAAATCCAATATTTTCTTGTCAAAATAGTTGTAAGTCATGTTTCCAATCAAGTATAGTTGCATGTGTGTTTTAGTTTGTTGTTTTCGAAATCGTATAAAATCGTTTTCTCCAGAAAATCCTATATCTTCTAATGTACAAAATAGTAGTCTTAAAACCATAAGATATGTGTGGTAAAAGCTTTATTTAAAGTATCCAAACAATAGTTGTTTATAATCGAAAGGTGTAACTTATGTAAATTTTTAAATAATATTGTTATATTCCAAGTAAATTTCTTCAGTCGCCGGTTTCGTTTAAGACATTTGTCACCCTAGACTGGTTGGTCTAGTTGTAACGAACAGAGAAGGTGCTGGGTGTCAACCCCATATAGATCTATACACAAATTTCTGCTCTCCCTCCAGGAGACTCTGATTATAACTCTTTATAGGACTTTAAACATACACTAATATATATAGGTACAATGAAGATGCGTCTGACTAGAATACTAACAGATATTTGTGCTAATAGTTGAAATTTGTCATTTATTTAATAAATAACAATAGTTGTACTCGTCTACTAGGTGTCTCGTTTTTGTTTCGTGACATTAGTTGTGCTTCTTGACTAGGTGTTTCATTTTCATTTCATAACATTAGTTATGCTTGTTAACTAGGTGTTTCGTTTCGTTTCATAGTCGTAGTGGCGTTTGTTGACTAGGAGTTTCATTTCGTTTTGTTTATTGAAAATAATCCACATTGAATCATATTTATCAAAAATAACTCAATATTATTGATGTTGGAAATAATGGCCCTTCTTTTTACAAATTATCAAATAAGACTCATATTTGTCAAAAGGTGTCATAAGTGGTTCAAAACATGGTGAATTGTTGAAAATGGCCCATTTCTTCTAAAATGCTCATTTTAGACATATTTATGAAAATGTTCAAAAAGGTCCTTATTTAGCTCATAATTCCATTTTTGGTCCTTAATAAATCGAAGTATTCAATAATTACTCAAATTTATTCCATGTTCCAAAATGATATATATATAAATATATATATATATATATATATATATATATATATATATATATATATATATATATATATATATATATATATATATATATATATATATATATATATATATAGCCCAAGATATTAATATTTCCATAGCTTAACATCTTCAAAATATTTTGTCCAAACTTTTGTTTAAACAATTTC